AAAATATAGCAGGGTTTAATATCCAGGACTAGAAAAAAATTTATAACGTTTTATATTATAATTCTATGCTTACATTTACTATTTATTAAATACTGGCATATATATATATATATATATATATATATATATATATATATATATATATATATATATATATATATATATATATATATATATATATATTTTTTTTTTTTTTTTTTTTTTTTTTTCGAACTCTTTCGAAAAACTTTCGAAAAGATTGAAAGCAACCACTATTAAGTTTTGAGTTACTTTAAAATAGATAAAAAAAAATAAGTAAAAGAAAAACATGAAGATAGCTAAGAGTTATAAGGTTTTTTTGATATGCATGGAAAAAAACTGGATTAATAAAAGTTTTTATAGCATTAAGAGACAGATACAGTAAAAGGATACAACTTGTTGAATAAGAAGCTGAGCAAGAATGAGTTTTGGTTTATCATAATAGAGATGAAATCTCAATTAAGCATTGACCATGATGGTATTTGCAGAAAAAAGAAAATCAACCTTACAACAATGGGAGGGCTATGGCTATAGCTTGGCAGATAAAGCAGGTCTAAATATATTTACAGTGTGCTTTTAGACTTTGTCTGAGAGTAAGTGGGTTTTTATTCGTCAATATAGGAATGCCATCATTATTGCAATGTTTTTTTGCAGTATATAAATGAGTTTAGTTAACTAACAAAAATTGTAGATTTTATGTCCAGAATATAAGTCCATAAGCCACTGCAAGCCTTAGGCTGTTATAGAAAAGAGATTAATCGAAAATCGGCTACTTGTTCTAAGGAATTAAAAAATAAAGATTTTTTGTCAAAATAAGAGTATAAAGTTGAATTGTCAGCAAATAAAGCCACTTTAGATGTAAAATTTTCATGAAGATAGATATAAAACAATACAGGAGCAAAGATTATTTGTGGTACCCTTAGTGTTACTTGAAAGGAAGAGGAGTGTTGGCCTTCAAGAATAACTTTAAAACTGCAGCTAGAAAGAAATAATTTAATTATCTCAAAACTTTTTTATAAATAAACTAAAAACAGAGTAAAGACTATCATAGAATAGTTGGAGAGGTCAAAGTGTTTTCTATAGTTTTGAAAAATTGAAACCACTTATTTAACACTTTTTAAAGTTGAAGAGAGTTATAGAGAACACTTTTTTAAGGCAATGATGGAAATCTTGTCTGAAGCACAAACTGTAAAGGTGTTTAATTGAAAATCAACTTTAGCAATGGAAGCTTCCAAGATGCACTTTATGCATACATATTATGGATATAAAAATATGTTTGCTATTTATTTAGATGCTGGCATACAATATCCTTTCACATTAATATAAACTTAAGTATTTATATGGTGAGTATTATCTAAATAAGAAGATGATCATATGATGAATAAGATAACGATGATGATTATGAATATGATGATGATGTATATATATATATATATATATATATATATATATATATATATATATATATATATATATATATATATATATATATATATATATATATATATATGTATATATGTATATATATATATATATATATATGTATATATATATATATATATATATATATATATATATATACACATAATATAACATAAATTTTGAATTAAAAAGATATACTTTAGGATGTATGTTCATGAAGCAATATCAGCTCCGGCCCTGACTATATTTTATCAAACCCAGCCCCGATCAAATATCCACTTTGATTGCTTACTAACTGCACTATGTCTTGATAAGGACCGCAACTTTTAAAGCCTTCCATCATTAAAAATTTTTTTATTATGGTATCTTTATTGAGTGTGAATAGCTCTCAAGCTAATATTCCATGAAAAAAACAAACATTAGTTTCTCCTTTCTTCATAAAGTTCCACTGCTGCATATAATAATATTTGTATCATATATGATACAAATATTATACTACTGCATATAACACTATTTACTACTGCATATAACAATATTTGATACCACTGCATATAACAATATTTGTACCATATATGATACAAATATATGTTTTGAAATTTATATACCTTAAAATAGCTTTTTTCAAACATATATATATATTTTTTTTTTGGTGTTAGACCATAGAATACTTCTTTATTTATTAGTTTATTTCAATATAAAAAAGTTATGCAAAAAGAGGTTAAGTACATACATTAAATGACAAAGGAAAACACGCAAGGAAGTTACTGTTTTACCTACAGAGGGTGATGGCAGTGATAAGTTTTTTTATCACTCATTTTTTTCTTCTATTTGCAAAAATAAAAAGATTTCGGTTGCCCAAAAAAAGTTCGTAAATGTCATTTACTACAACTACAAGTTTTGTAACAACAAGTTACTAAAGTTGTAGTTTAGTAACTACAAGTTACTAAATTATTTTGAGTGCTCAATGCAACTAAGGAATAGGACAAACAAACTTGTAAAAAAAAAAGCCGATAATTTTAAACAAATCCGATTGGTTGTTAGTGGCGAACTGAATATCTTTTTATTTATTGGTATTTAATTTATGCAAACAATCAATTCGTAAATAATGGCAAAATATTGTAAACAACCGAAGCGTAATTATATTGATATATCTCCGGCAACAGTTTTGCCAGAGATATATTAATATAATTATAAAGATATCTTGAAGTGTTTGTTTGACATAATTTATAATCCTAATTACAATTTAATACATTTGTGTAGGTATATTTTAAAAAAAATATGCTACCTTTAAAAGCAGTTGGAATGATTTATGTAATGTATATTTCATTTTGCGTTGTGCTGGCAACAAAAAGTTAGCACAGTGCAAATCTTCATACATTACCGAAACCATTATAGCTTTATGTATCGAGTTAATGCTCAAAGATATAATTGTTTTTATAACAATAAGTTAAAAATAACTTACGTTACTTTTAAATTATTGTTATAAAAATAAAAGAAACCTAATGTCAAATAACATTTACTACTGATATAAAAACAAAACAAGTTTGAAAATAAAATTAATTTATTTATAAAGTTTACTGCTACTGTTTTTTAATTGTTTACCATTGTAAATGATTCATTTTTTCGAGATGGCCAAATAAGTCTAGAGTATTTCAAAAAATGATATTAAATATCGAAAACAGTTTTTTGAATGAGATTATAATTTATGATTTATTCAAAAACAACTTTTGTAGAAAAGTTAACACTACCATAGCCTATCTGAATCTAACATGACATTATCGTTAAACTTACTCATTTAGGTGTGGTATTGAAAATAATAACTTCCAAATTCATAAAAAAACGGTTTTTCGTGGTTAATTTTCCCAAATAATGTTTGATTTTAAATGTCAAGTTACACTTATTGAAAACAAACACCAAATCCACAAACTTATTAATAGCCAAGCCCCAAGGTACTTTATGTTGAAATTACATCTTTTTTAAATAAAACTACGCTTGACGATTTGTTATAGTCGCATTACTTTTACCAGATTATAATAGTGGTTAAAATAACCTTTCCATACATACCAAATATGTCATACTTTTTGATAAAAAAACTTACATATATTGTAATTGAAAAAACTTATATTTTTGTTCGGAAAAACGTGTTAGTTTTTCCAAACAAAATTATAAATTTTTTCAGGCCTAAGTTGCTTTGAATGCTTGTGATATTTCAATTTTTTTTTTTTTTTTTAACGCTTTCCTTAACCTTTTGAAGTTTTAAGTTTATCTTTTTTTTTAATCCATTGATTTTGGTACAGAAAAATATACTGTTTGTTGAGTTGTCCAACTGTTTGTTGTTAATATTAATAGCTTTATTTTTTCCTTTTGTTCATTTTGTCAATTCATCCTGAATGTTTTATTTGCAATATCAGAACCAGTTAGAATATATGCTGTACTGGTTTCATAATTGGTTTGATTGTGTTCAATAGTTTTTTTTTTTTAAGACAAGTTCTACAGAGTTTTGACCAGCTTAAAACTTCATTTTTTTTATTTTCTCTAATGATTGATCAACGGGATTCAAAAAAAAAAGAAAATTATTCTATACAATTAGAAAATTTTTTAAGTTTTTTTAACTTTTTTTAACTTTTTTTAACTTTTTTTAACTTTTTAGTTATTTATAGTTTATTTAGTTTTATGAAATTTGGTGAAAAGTTATATAGGCTATAGGCATAAAAAGTTATATCGCGTTTCTAAGCTAGTAATTTTTTTTTTCTTTTTTTGAGAAGGTTTGAATAATTCCACCTTATAATGTTTTTAATTATATCTTATTTTTATCTAATTGTAAAAATGTGTATTATTTCATTTATCCAAATTAATTAAATTTGTATTCAATAGCTATTCATAAGTATTCAAGAGCTAAAAATAAAGATTGCATCATTATAAATAAATAATACTTGGCTGTTACTTTTTTAGCATCAGATAAAAATTAATTTTAAATTTCATTTTTGAATTCCTTGTTTCAAAAAGTACAAAAACAAACAAATTTTTACCTTTAAATGATTACCTGTTTTAGAAATATTGGCTATATATCAAGTTCAAAATAATTGATTTTCAGTAACAAAATTCTCTTAGAAAGTGAAAGTTCAGATATCTCAACAACTACAAGACATCCCAAAAATTGTTTTTACAGTATTTCTTCTTCTTTTATTGGAGATGCATGCTCAAAAATTTCAAGTTTTAAATCTACTGTATACCCAGTAAAAACGCTTCTTAAATGGACCTAAATTTAATTTTTTTAAGTTTATAAATTTGGACCTATAAAATGGACCTAATTTTAATTTTTTTTAAGTTTATAAATTTAGAGTTCATAACCAAGTTCAAACTTCATAGTTCAAACTAATTTAAGAAATATCGAATTTCTTATTTTTATTTTGGAAGTTTAAGTTTTCTTTGTGTATTTTTTAATTTTTGAATTGATCTGCTTTTGAAATAAAAAAGAATGGTTTCAAAGGTTTAAGTATTATGTTTTATTCATTGTTTTTCATTAATCATTGTTTAGTTATTTTATACATTTTTTACAGATGCACTTGTGTGCTTGTGCGATACAAAAATGTGAAAAGTATAAAAAAGAAATTTCAAAAAAAAGTATGGATGAACACAATGAAAAAATTCTTGTAAAAGACAAACAGGTATAACTTTTTTTTATAAAAGACAAACAGGTAAAGCTGCTTTTCTTGTAAAAAGCAATTAGACAAAACTGTTTTTCTCATATAAGAAAAATATTGTATAAGATAAATGATATGAGTATTTTGTACTCATAAAATTGAAATACTATGCAACTTTTGTCATAAAATTGAAATACTATGCAACTTTTGTCATAAAATTGAAATACTATGCAACTTTTGTCATAAAATTGAAATACTTTGCAACTTTTGTCATAAAATTGAAATACTATGCAACTTTTGTCATAAAATTGAAATACTATGCAACTTTTGTCATAAAATTGAAATACTATGCAACTTTTGTCATAAAGTTGAAATACTATGCAACTTTTGACATAAAATTGAAATACTATGCAACTTTTGTCATAAAATTGAAATACTATGCAACTTTTGTCATAAAATTGAAATACTATGCAACTTTTGTCATAAAATTGAAATACTATGCAACTTTTGTCATAAAATTGAAATACTATGCAACTTTTGTCATAAAATTGAAATACTATGCAACTTTTGTCATAAAATTGAAATACTATGCAACTTTTGTCATAAAATTGAAATACTATGCAACTTTTGTCATAAAATTGAAATACTATGCAACTTTTGACATAAAATTGAAATACTATGCAACTTTTGTCATAAAATTGAAATACTATCCAACTTTTGTCATAAAATTGAAATACTATGCAACTTTTGACATAAAATTGAAATACTATGCAACTTTTGTCATAAAATTGAAATACTATGCAACTTTTGACATAAAATTGAAATACTATGCAACTTTTGTCATAAAATTGAAATACTATGCAACTTTTGTCATAAAATTGAAATACTATGCAACTTTTGACATAAAATTGAAATACTATGCAACTTTTGTCATAAAATTGAAATACTATGCAACTTTTGTCATAAAATTGAAATACTATGCAACTTTTGTCATAAAATTGAAATACTATGCAACTTTTGACATAAAATTGAAATACTATGCAACTTTTGTCATAAAATTGAAATACTATGCAACTTTTGTCATAAAATTGAAATACTATGCAACTTTTGACATAAAATTGAAATACTATGCAACTTTTGTCATAAAATTGAAATACTATGCAACTTTTGACATAAAATTGAAATACTATGCAACTTTTGTCATAATATTCTCAAGACCCGACTTTAGTTTTCAAGACCCACTTTAAATTGGTGGCAACTTCGCTTGTAAAAGGTTTTTATATGTTACTTTCTCATTCTATTTTTAATAAAAGTTTTGAAATATTATCTAATGGTGCATGCTGGACACTAAATTCAACCATTTAACTCTTAAGCAATAGTCTTGACAAACAAGGCTGCTGCATAGAGAAATAAGTTAAGCGTCGATTTACCATATACTTGATATGGTAAGATGCGGGTTGAATTAATCAATTTAAAATCAAATCGCGAATTGCTATATTTAAAAAAATATCTGATTTCACTCATTTGCAAAAAAATTATAAAAAAACAATAATAATAAAAATATACTTACGATTACAAAAGTATAAACATAAGTCACTGACTGTGTTATAAAAGTAATAACAACTTAATAGTATTAATACTTTTTTAACGCACCTATAACTTCTTTAAATTATTGTTTGGTCAAACAACATTTACAATTTATATATTTTTCATTTACAAGGCAAACAAGTAAATGAAAAATATATTCTAAACAAATAATCCCAACTTTAAATTGAAGTAAAAATGCTTTAGAAAATGTAGAATGGATATTTACATAATATTAAAAAGTTACACAAACCTTTACAAATGCGTACTCTATAATTAGTTTAGCATTTCAAAACTGTTAGTAATAGTCCTGAAAATTATATACATTAAAATCTTATTGAATTTTAGGAATTTGGAAGTTAATTAAAATTGTATACATTAAAATCTTATTGAATTTTAGGAATTAGAGTTAAAAAACGACATACACGACTTAAAAAGACATTTTTTTGATCTGTGTAGTCAACTCTACAATTTACTCCAGCGGATGGAAGCATTACAGAAATAAGTAGATGGTAAAAGCTGCTAATACATGGAGATGAATTTTCGAGCATAAACCGAGCATGTAAATACAAATAACTAAATATGCTAGTAATTAATTTAAAAAAAAAAACTAATTTTGAGCACACATGTTGATAAATTTAAAATATTATAATATATAAAATATGTTTTTGTATTTTTTATCACATTTGCGTCACTTTAAAAAAAAAAGGTCCTCATTTCCAAGAATTTTTAGAACTTTTAGATTCTGGTGGGGGGGGGGAGGGGGCTGACCCGTTAAAATACAGGTCAATACCCGTAAAATATTATTTATTATATATAAAAACTTATATATAATAAATACTATTTTAGCAATATTACACAGGGACTAAAATGTTTCAGTATGTGTTTCATTTATATTCTTTTATCCATAGTGGTAAAGTGTTAATCTAATTAATAATACTGAATATTAGTATTAACTGAGTATATTAGTATGAACTTAATAATAACTTAGTATGAACTTAGTAAATGAACTTAATAATGAACTTAGTACAAAACAAACTTAGTATATTAGTATGAACTTAGTATAGTAGTATTAGTTTAAGTGCGCTTTCGAGCCTGTTTGACACGGTACCCTTGGCAGCCATTGCGAGCGAGGTAATTGTGAGAAAGAGTTGCAGCAGCTTTGTTTTATAAGAAAACGTGAACGAACGCGTATCCAAATATCTAACGTACGTAAACTTTAAATGAGGTAATGTTAAAACATACTGAAACATTTAACATGTTTTACAGTTTGATTTTCACTTGAAACTTCCATTGCGTCAAGCTCTCCTTAAGTTTGACCTATAACATTTTTTTCCATTAAAAAAATTTTATATTGTTTTAAAAATATTAGCTTGAGAATGTGCCAGTGTGGCCGAGTGGTTAAGGCGCCGAGCTTTTTAGCAAGTAAGCTGAGGTTCGATTCCTTCTGAAGCTTCTGAACAAGTATTCCGAGGTTCGATTCCACAGGCAACTTTTTTTTTTTTAATTTTTTTCGATTATTTTAAAATATAAAATACTTTGAAGTTTTATAAAGATTATATACAAACATATGTAACGTAACGATATTATACACTTTTACATAAGAAAAGATTTTAAGAAAGCTAAAACTTCATAAAACATCACCAGGAGAAAAAATTTGTTGCGTATGTATGATGATTGAGCCATTTATGTTATTAATGTGCCCACGTAATTAGTCCTAATAAGCTGCGGATGGTCTGAAAAAAAAAGTTGTCTGATACTTAATGAAGAAAAAACTTAACAAGACAGCCCTGCTACTCCAGAAGGAGCTGCTGTGCAGCCAAAAAAAAACCGTAGCTAGAAAAACTTTAAAACTTTCTTTTGACAATTAAAAGTTTTTTTTAGGTACATTTAGTTTTTTACTCTAAATATATGCTGCACCCGATTTTCCTTAATATGCATATTACGTATTTCAAAAAAAAAGCTTTTAAAAAAAAAATTATTAGGAGAAAGTCTTTGTAAAACGTTTTTTGAAACTAATACTTATTTAGAATATTTTTAGAACTCTTTAAACGTATGTATTTAATAATGTTTGTAGACTAGCTTATTTTGTAAAATAGTCAAAATTGATTATTTTTACCTTTAAGCGTTTTAAAAAACGACTGCAGAATGGATGGTACAACCAATATGTTGAAATGAGTTAATTTGACGCAAAAAGCTCCTAACAAATGCCACTAAAGCCGTACATGGCCCACCTAAATTACAAGTAATTCAAGTAGGCCATGAGCCGTAACTAAAAGCAATTACAGTTCAGTAGCAAAGAAACATATAAACCGTTTTTTTATATAAAAATAATTTTTTTTAAACTTTATTGAAAAATTAAAAGTTTTAACATACTTAATGTTAATTAAATCAACAGAAATTACAGGTTTGGTGCTTAACTTTCCCTATATAAACAATATATATATATATATATATATATATATATATATATATATATATATATATATATATATATATATATATATATATATATATATATATATATATATATATATATATACAAATATGTTATTTGTTTATGTATATTGTTTATAAATCTAAAAAAACCACTTGTATAACGTTTTATTCAGTATCGTATGTAATATAAGAAAACTTTTCTAATAATTGCAATTCTTTTATGATTTTATGATTGTTTTGATTTTTTGTATGCAACTTATTATAATTTCTGATTGTTAAAACTGCTTAGACCGTTAAAAATAATAGTCGAGGCTTTTTCGTAAATCGTAGTAGCCACAATATATTCCGTACGTGACGTCACTTTTTAGAAAAAAAATAGAAAAACAAACAAGAAATAATTTGATTTAAATTTTTTTAAAAAGACTCCTTCTATTAAAGATATATGGAGTATAATTTTATGGGATATATTCTAATAATGACAAAAACTATTTATTTATTATATTTGTAATAAATACAATCTCTTATCCGTGAAATTATACATCTGTACCGGTTTTATATATTTTTATGCAATTGTATGTTGTATTCAACAATTTTGTAAGTTGTATGCAACAATTAAAATTAATCAAAAATTGTAAGTTGTATGCAACAATTAAAATTAATCAAAAAATGTAAGATGGAAAAAAAAAAACTTGACGCATAAAGGTTTATTTCGCCACAAACCGACGTCAATGTGCATAATATTTTTTGCTTAACTTTTTAATAAGCGTTTAATAGCTAAGGCTATATTATTCTTTAGTTTTTAATAATAATCATTAGAATGCACTTTTTTTATGACTATATATTAGTGGTCTAAGATCTTCTTAGTCCTATTTGTATTGCGTTATATACAAATGTTTGTATGTTCGAACGCTTACTTTATAAGCAGGAGATCCAGGTTCGAAACAAACCTAGGATATATTTTTGCGTCACGGTAAGGAAGGAGGCGTAAACTTCCTGGTTAAATGCACTTCTGCGGTGCTCTGTGATAAGACCGTTAGGGCACCTATATAACAATAAAAATAAAAAAATAAATGTAAGCTTCTTTAGCATATGTTGAATTTGCATTATATAGATGTTTAAAATGTAATGCAGAAGCAAATATGGAGAGAAATTGAAATGGCTGACTTCCCCCTGTAGTTTAACACTTACACAGCTTAGTGAATATGCTATATTCCTTGAAAATTCAACTGCAAGTCACTTTAATGTTGTACTGTTGTATAATATAAAAAATTATCAAAAAAAAAAATTATAAATCAACTTCTTTTCATAATTTTTAGACATATTTTAAATATATTTTTATTTTAAGTCTGTAAACAAATGTTTTAAAAACTTAAAAATAAGCGAATTTACAAAACTTAAAAATAAGCGAATTTACGGTATATAGGAGAGGGAATAAAAATGTTTGTCTTTTTAAATTTGGTCGAAATACTTTTTCATACGCCTGACTGATTCCACATTAGTAAAGCGAAAGCAAAGAATCCAGAAATAAACCCATATAACAATATATGTTTAATTTAAAAAAATCTTAATCCTATCTGATACATAGGGTAACCTACGAGAAATTTTTTATTTGCAGATGTGAATCGTTAAATAAAACAGTCAGAAAGAAATAAAAAGCTGCGATTTTCAGATTCTGCAGGTTGTCAAGTTAAACTTGTTGTTTAGAAAACTCCTTTTCTAACAAGTTTGCAACAAGTACGATAGCCTAGAAGTAAAATTAAACAATTTTGGATATTCCCCTTCATTATTTAATAAAACAAGTACACATTTTGATCAAACAAGTACTTGCATATTCTATGATCTTTAAGTTTAAAAAAGATTATCTGTAAAATTTATATTTTCACCTTTTATTTAAAATAATATAAGAAATTTTACTCCCACTAAAATGTAGAAAATAAATTAAGTTAAAAAAAGTTATTATTAAAAGTTTAACTTTTATAAAATATATTTATTAAGCACTATATTAACATAACCGTAAAAATATCTAATGAGAGTAAAAATCTCATAAAGGGAGTAAAAATTTCATACGCATTTTTTACTCCGCGGCACAAATTTCATATCAAATTTTTTTAGGGGAGTAAAAAAAAAATGGGAGTAAAAATCTCATACTACACCGGCGGGTTATTTACAAAGAAGTAAAAAGAACCCCCAAAGTAAAAGATTAAAGAACACTTATTTAAGGTTCTTCAAATTTTTTTTTATAAGCAATGATATTTTGATATCCGCATGTTTGTTTATTTGGAAAAAGTGGGGCTTTTAAGCATTTTAAAAAAATCTGGTTTGATTTCCTCAAGAAAGTTGTTTGTAATTATATACATATATTTATATAAATAATATAGCATACACATCAACATATATAGAATCCTTTGTTACATTTATTAAATGGGAGACTATTTGAATTGGAGCGTTGAAGAAGTCTGCTTATACTTAGAAGTAAAAGGACTCCCAGAACTTAATATAATATAATATATATTTCGCCATTAAGAAAGTATTTACAAAATTAGACTTTAAAAACTGTATATACACGGCTGGGGCAAGAAGAAGACAAATTCAGTCTTATCGCCATGCCCCTTCAAACAAGAATACAAGTAACAAACAAAACAAAAAACCAAAAAACCAAAAAAAATTCGTTATCACAATATAATATATGCGTAAGGTACATATATAAATACAAATATCTAAATATTTTTCATTAAAACTTAATATTTTTTTTTAGTTTTTTTTTTTTATTAGGATTTCAAATTTTAATAGTAAATAAAAATGAGATAAAACATGATAATTTAAGAAGGTAAAGATTCAAATTAAAATCAAAAATTAATATGTTAAAAATAAATTAAATATCAAGTAAAAAACAAGTGATTACTCCTATTTAAAAGTTTCAAAAGAAGTCAAGTTCATTGTCAATTATCAATAGTTTACTTTTCTTTTTTTTTTTTAAATTGATCAAGGGAAGAAATTTTTTTAAACTCATTATCCAATAGGGTGTTCCATAATTTAGGTCCTCTGATTGCTATCGAGAACCTAGTCGCAGAATAATATTTTTTTGGTTTAATATAATTGTTGTTTGAAAATCTTGTTGGGTATAAATGATTAATTTTTTTGAAAAATGAATTAAATAAAATGGGTGCCATTTTATTATCTACTTTGAACATAAATATAAAAATATGATATAGGTTAAGTTCAAA